TTTATTTAGAGTCTCTGAGAAGTCAGGTGTAATTTTAATAGGTCTGCACTCATATGTTACTTTGCCCTTTTCCCTTGCACATTTTAATGTTCTTTATTTATTTTGGACATTTACTGTCTTGACTATTATGTGGCAGGGGGACTTTATTTATTTGGCCTTCTGGACACTTCAAGTACATGTATAGGCACCTCTTCTTTTTGGCTTGGAAAAATTTATTCTATGATTTTGTTGAAAATATTTTTTGGGACTTTGAGCTGGGATTCTTATTCTTTTTTTTTCCTCCCATTTTCCTTGTGCAAGTATTACAGATCCAGAGGAAAAAAAGCATCCTGACTTGTCAAGAAGTCAGGGTATACATGCAAGTGTTAAAACTCCAGAAGGAAAAGTATCCTGTTTTGTTTGGAATTCAGCCTATACTGAAGCTGTGAAGGAAAGGTATACTGGATATCTACAGCTTTGGAGGGAAAAGTATCCTGTTTGTCAGGAAGTCAGGCTATAACTGTAAAGTTGGTATGATAGATACCCACACCTGTGAGGAGAAAGTTTTCCTGAATTGTTGGGAAGTCACACTATACCTACAACTGTCAAGAGAGGTATCCTTGATACCTACATCTGTGAGAAGAAAGGTATCCTGACTTGTGGGAAGTCAAGTTATACCAGAGTGTGTTGCCTTCACTGGCTCTTGATTCAGGGTCAGGATGCTAGAGTTCATGCTCAAGAACTGCTTGGTTTCCTGCTCAGGAATTGGTTTGGTTTTTTGCTCAGGGATAAGTTGGTCTCATGTTCAGTTGGTCAGGGGCAGAGTTGGCTCTCATTTCAAGGCCCAAGTGAATTTTGTTGACTGGCCCATTTTAGCCTCTTTGCTCTAGTTTCAGGGCCAGGGTGTATATCTTTCAATGGCTCTGGTTCCAGGGCCAAAGTGTTTTTCTTTGGCACTTTGGGCCAAAGTGTTTTTCTGGCTTCAGGGTCAGGATGTGTTTCTTTGATTCTGGTTTCAGGACTTAAGTGTTTCTTTCCCTAACTCTTTTTTTTCAGGGCTAGGGTGTTTCTTTCACTGGCGCTTGGTTTAGGGTCAGGGTGCTAGAGTTCATGCTCAAAAGCTGGTTGGTTTCCTGCTCAGGGATTCGTTCATTTTCATGTTCAAGAAGAAGTCAGCTTCATGTTCAGTTGGTAGGCACAGATTTGGCACTGGTTTCAGAGTCAAACTGTTTCTTTCACTAGCCCTTTTTACCCTTTTAGCTCTAATTTCAGAGCCTGGGTGTATTTCTTTCACTGGCTCTGGTTGCAGGACCAAAGTGTTTCTTTGGTTCTGATTTCAGGGATAAAGTGTTTCTTTTACTAACTGGGTTTTCAGGGCCAGGGTGTGTTTCTTTCACTAACTTCAGTGCAGTGCCTTTGTGGGTTTCTTTGTCTGACCCTTTTACCATATACATAGGTTTGGTCTTTTCATAGTGTTCCAGGTTTCCTGGATGTTTTGTGTAAAAATCATTTTAGATTTAATAATTTCTTTCACCGATGTATCAGTTTCTTCTATGGTATCTTCTATGCCTGATATTCTCTTTTCTATTTCTTGTATTCTGCTGCATCTGTAGTTACCGTTCACATCCCTAGATTGTCCATCTCCAGGATCTCCTCATTTTGTGCTTTTCTATTTTCATTTTCAGGTTGTCAAATTTCATTCATTTCCTTATTTTATTTGTATTTCCCTGGATTTCTTTAAGTGATTTTTTTCATTTCTCCTTGAAGTTCCTCTATCATCTTCATGAGATTGGATTGGAGGTCATATTCTCTTGCTTCAGCTGTGCTGGAATAATCAGGACATGATGTAGTAGAATAGCTGGGCTCTGGTGGTAATATATTGCCTTGGCTAATTTTGATTTTCTTCTTACCCTACCTCTACTAATTGGGTTTGAAGTCATTGCAGGTTTAGGTGCTGATAATGACTTTATCATTGCTAGAAGGAAATTTTTTGTTAGTTTACCACTTGGTTTCTATTTCCTCTCTGGTGTTTTTCCCTAAGAGGTTCTGGTGATAGGTTCACCAGGGTATTTTCACTGAGGTTATTACATCTTGCATGACTTTTGTGATTTTGGGTCCAATGTTGCCTCTGGGGTTCCAAATGCCAGTGTGTCTTCTGAGATCCTTAGCAAGGTGTGGCCTCCAGTCAAGTGGAAGGATCTTGCCAAAATTGTGGACTGGGATATGGAGCACAGTTGGGGGCTGTTTGGCTGGCTTCACAGGGTGTTAGCTCGAAGTAGGTTCTGACTTACATGGGGTTCCTAATACTAGCACAGCCTTCAGTAAAGCACAAGTCCTCTGCCAGAGTTCCAGCCAGAACATGAAGCCTGGGGGAGAGGATGCAGTCTGAGGATCTTTGGCAGGCTGCAAGGAGCGTTAGCTGGTAATGGCTGGTATATTATCTGGTATTCCTAGTGCCTGCGTGGCCTCTGCTAAACAGAAGTATTCTGATAGCATTGTGGCCAGGATATGGAACACAGGGAAGGTGGTTCTTGGCAGCTGTTAAGTGGGTTTTATAGAGTATTAGTAGGTGGTGGGCAGTGTTTTACCAGGGGTCTCATATATAGGCCTGGCCTTTGGGAAAGCACAAGCCTTCTTCCAGTGTTTCAGGCTGGAATATGGAGCCTAGGAGTGCAGGTGTTTTGAAATCAATAAATTCTATTCCATTGCAAATTTTATAGTAAGAACTCCCATAACAGAAAAAGTTTGTATAAGAGGTTATTTTGCAGAAGAATTTTCTGAGGATTGAGGTACAGTCCAAAAAAATTACAATATGCATAAATGAACACATGCATATAGGGCAACTGAGGTTCAAGAACAAAGGGAATGACAGCCATTTGGCATAATTCATTATTATTTTTAACTCTTGGATTAACTCAAGCTATGTAACTCTGACAGTGTAAAAGGATATAAGCAGTGTCTTCCCGTATAATTTCTCCCTTCTCTAAGTGGTATGGGCCCTGTACATAAAGTATATTAGCAGTAGTGGGTAGGTGCTGAAGTTCCTGTTCTAGAGAGGAAAGAAATAAGGCAGACTCATGCATCAGCTGGCTTATTTCCTTCTGTAATAAAAACAGGCAGGCCAGAGTAAGCAGAAGAATAAGTAACAAAGAAAGGAATCCTGAGAGTTTTCATCAATTGTTTCTGTTCCTGTAGTAATAAGAAACAAAACAGGCAGTGAAGATAACATTAAAGCAATTTCTATAAACAACATAAACAAAATCTGAAACAATATTTTCAGGTTTATAAAATAATTCTAAAATACATGAATCACAACAGCAAGTTCTACCTGTTGAGCTCAGGGAAAACAAGTATTAATAAATTGATGAATATCTTATCTATGAATCCTTCCTAATCCATTAGATAAGCCATAAATAAAATAAGTTTATGCTGGTGGAATGAGAGAAGTTAGATAATTTTTATAATTACAAATTCAGGTCATATGAGAAAACCTCTCTCTTGCCAACTGGATAATGATTTCCTATCTTTCCACAGTAATCTGCACATGATTTAAAAGTCCATACAATTCTTTAATGCACTTAAACACTGGTTTTTCTTCAAAGGTTATATAGTATAGCAACATTCAAGTCTGTAAAATTTTTTGACATTAGATATTGTGCTGGTTCAGTAATTGAGCAAGAGAAGCAAGGAAAGCTGATATGGTATGAATAAGTCCATTTCACAGTTTTCTCCTCTGTGCTGTAATACCTGTATGAGCCAACTTAGTTAGGAAAATAAGTACATTTAAAGGGAGCCAATGATCCACAGGATCCACAAATGCCTCTAGTAGTCTGGATTCAAATACCTGTAGTTCTTACTTTGCCTCTCGAGGTAATATGTGAGGACCAACCAATGATGTCTCTCCTTTTGCAGTTTCAAATAGACTAGTTAGTGCATCATTAGGTACTCCTAAAGGAGGACATAGCCAATTAATACCCCCTAACAATTCCTAAAGTCATTAAGTGTTTTTCAGTTGTCTTGTCTAAAGAATTTTTGTGTTTGTGTGGTTTAGCAGCTGTTCTAGGAACTGGTTTTCCTAAATATTACACAGTGTCTGATCATTGTTGCATTTTGGTATAATAATAAGTCCATTGCTTTATGTTTGTTTGTTTTCTGGCATATCATATGTCATATCATATATGAATTGGAGCTGTTCTTCTCTGGAGCAGGTAGATAGGACATAAGGCTAAGGGAAGGCCTGCTTCTCAGGCTTTAACACACTTCTTATGTAGTATTGACACATAGTAGAGGAGGTTGTCATGCCTTGAGACAATTCAATTCATTGGTATTGGAGCAGAAGTATTTTATGTTTGAGTGAGGGAACACAAAAGGCAAAATGCATGATATCAGGATGAATAAGTATACTTTAAAAGCGATGTTTTAAATCCAAAACTACTGAAGGTCAATCTTTAGGAATATCTGTAGGCCTGAGTAAACCTGCCATTAGCCAATTAGTATTTTCTGGGCTTAGAGTGTATATCCATTCATTCCAACAGTTTACCTCTTGTGATATAATATCTGTGGGTAACAATTCAGTGGGGTAAATAAGCACTTTTGAAGCAGCAAAGGATCTACAGGATACACAAATACCTCTTTGGTCTGGATTGAAATAGCTGTAGTTAATTTTTGCCTCTATAGATAGTATGTGAATATATTCTAATTCCATCTCTCCTACTAGTGTTTAAATGGATTGGTTAGTGCATAATTAGGTGTTAAACTGTTCGATTTTGCTGAAGTTGCATTGAAAATACTAACCATACCTCATGAGGCCAGAAAGAAACTTGTAAGTAAAGTCAACTTTATCATAGACTCTTCTAAATATTCACCAAAATGGAGAGAATTCAAGATTAGACTGATCATTAAATTACTCACCCCATGCTTCAGGGTCAGTTTCAGAATATGGAGGATATGTATGTAAAGTAGCATAAAGTAGCAGTAATGGGACCTGGTTGAATGGAGCTGATAAATAAGGACAATTAAAATCTCATACAAGAGCCAACTTTATTCATTGCCTGAGACAATTTATACTCTGCAGGTTAAGAAAGGTTACATGAGTGAAGTTCTCATGAGTTAAAATTGTATACAATGATAGAGCAAGCCACATGGGACAAAAACATGCTTTTCCATTCAGGCATATAAAGGATAGGTCAAACATTTAATTGAGCAACACCACCAAGCAATAATGAGCAACCAAGAGACAAATCACATCTATCTGCACAAAAACACATTTCAAGAACATTTTTTGGATTTGAAGAAACTGAGGTCACAAGACTTTTGTTTCATTTTCTTGGAGTGTTAACATAAGTATTCAGAATTCTCTTCAAATGACTCCTTTCCAAGACCATGTCTGATAATAAATATAATAAATTTTATTTTAGAAAAAGAATGTAACATATACATGAAGAAAGTTCTTTTAAAAATATGGAGTCACACACACACTCACACAAACACATAATTGTCTTTGTACCATTTACATACCTGGTGCCCTAGGAAGCCAGAAGAATTCATCCTATCTCCAGGACAAGCCTTTATTAGCAGTTCTGAGCCATCTCATGTGGATTGGGTACCTAACAGCAGCTTTACAACTGAGCCAAATTCTCAACATGCCAATATTGTAGAAGATGAAGTTGTGCCATTATTGTTTCTGTCTTCTATCACTGGGAGGTGGCGAAATTTCCTATATGATCACTGAAAGATTGAATGTTTTCTATCCCTGTGAATAGACTCTGACCATTGCTTCTTATTGTAATTGTAAACACAGTTCTCTTAATGTAAATGAAGACAACAAAAGATTTTGTTGTGTAGAGATGAGTCCAGGTTGTGCTAGGGGAAGTTCCATAACATGATATATTCTTTTAAACATAATTTATTTTTAATTTATATTTATAGGTGTTTTGTTTGGATCTAAGTCTGTTTGGGGGTATTATGTTCCCTGGAAGAGGACCCTGGAAGAGGACATACAGACAGTTGTGAACTTCCCTATTGGTACTGGGAATTGAAACTGTGTCCTCTGGAAAAACAGCCAGTGTGTTTAATTGCTGCGCCATCTGTCCACAATCCTTATTTTGGATTTTTGAGACAAGATGTCTTAGTTAGAATTTTGGCAATAAATGGGGAGGAAAGGGTTTAGTTGGCCTAAACTTCTATATTGTTATTTATCACTGAAGGAGGTCAGGACAGAAACCTAAATGGGGCAGGAACTTGGTGCTGTTGCAGAGGCCATGCAGTGTAGCTTCTTAACTGGATTATCCCCTATGGCTTGCTCAGCCTGCTTTTTTATCAAACATAGGACACCTCCCCATCAATCATTAATTAAGAAAATGCCTTAGAGCCAGATCTTATGGAGTTTTCTCAACTGAGTTTCCTTTCTTTCATAACTAGCTTGTTGTGAAGTTGACATAGGACTAGCCAGTGCAATTGACCACTTTTCAATTTGACACACAAACATGGCCTTATTAAGCCCCAACCTTTCTTTTTTCATTCACAAGATACTGCATTAAAACATAAACAGCTTTAATAAAAGTCCAAAAATCTTCACAAATTCATACACATTCAAGTTTCTCTTTAAAAATATGAAATCTTACTAAAAATCTAAAATCTCTTTTAAAAATTCAAAGCCTTTCAAATATGGCTCACGGAAAAATCAAAATTAAATTAAATACTGTCTCTGTACAAGAGGAAGAAGCAAGGCAGTCAGAACCTGAAAAAAAGCAAAAAATGAAGTCTGACTGTATAAATTAACTCAACCTCTAGTGATTAAGATCCACACAGAATCTTCAGGGATTCTCCAAAGGACTTGGGTACACATAATTTCTAGGCTCTCACTGGTTCCACTTTACCACTGCTGATGGTCTTGGTGGACACCACATGGTACTGGCATCTCCAAAATGATGTATTCTGTGCCTGGTGTTCAAAGCTTTACCTGATTTATAAGGTTCAAAGGATTTTTCGCTAGGATGTATTTTTTTCATGCCTATGAAGATGACTTTATATATAAATGCTCTACCACATTAATAGACAATCTCTCCATTATGATTTCTTTCATGTTTTTTTAAAAACACTGGGAAATTATGTAAAGGCTTTACCACATTGATTACATTGATAGGGTTCTACTATAAATTCTTTCATTAGGTGTGAAGATGACTGTTATAAGCGAATGCTCTCCAACATTAATTGCATTCACAGACTTTGTCTCCAGCATGATACTTTTATGATTGCAAAGATGTCCTTTCCATGCAAATCTCTACCACATTGATTACATCCATAGGGTTTCTCTCCAATATGATTTCTTTTATGGCTGTGAAGATGACTTTTCCATGTCAATATTGTACCACATTGATTGATTGCATTCATACGGTTTCTCTCCATTATGACTTCTTTCATGACTGTGAAGATCACTTTTATGTGTAAAGGTTTTACCACATTGATTACATTCATAGACTTTCTCTCCAAAATGAATTCTTTCATGTCTCTGAAAAGAACTTTTCCATGCAAATGTTTTACCACATTGATTACATCCATAAGGTTTCTTTCCAACATGAATTCTTTCATGACTGTGAAGATGACTTTTACGTGTAAAGGCTTTACCACATTGATTACATTCATAAGGTTTCTCTCCAGTATGAATTCTTTCATGACTGTGAAGATCACTTTTCCATGCAAATGCTTTACCACATTGATTACATTCATAAGGTTTCTCTCCAGTATGATTTCTTTCGTGATAGTAAAGATGACTTTTATGTGGAAATGTTTTACCACATTGATTACATTCATAGGGTTTCTCTCCATTATGAATTCTTTCATGACTGTGAAGATCAGTTTTATATGTAAATGCTTTATCACAGTGATTACATTCATAAGGTTTCTCTCCAGTATGAATTCTTTCATGTCTGTGAAGAAGACTTTTCCATGCAAATGCTTTACCACATTGATTACATTCATAGGGTTTCTCTCCACTATGAATTCTTTCATGACTGTGAAGATGACTTTTACTTGCAAAGGCTTTTCCACATTGATTACATTCATAGGGTTTCTCTCCAGTATGACTTCTTTCATGTCTGTGAAGAAGACTTTTCCACGCAAATGCTTTACCACACTGATTACATTCATAGGGTTTCTCTATACTATGAATTCTTTCATGACTATGAAGATGACTTTTACTTGAAAAGGCTTTACCACATTGATTGCATTCATAGGGTTTATTTCCAATATGACTTTTTTCATGATTGAGAAGATGACTTTTTTGTGCAAATGCTTTACCACACTGATTACATTCATAGGATTTCTCACTAGTATGACTTCTTTCATGTTGTTTAATAATACTGGGATATGTAAAAGTTTTACCACATTGCTTATCTTCATACTGTTTCATTATAGAATTAGCTCTGGGTAACTGAAGATAACTATGACATGAAAAAGCTTTAAAACTTTGATTATATTCATAGAGATTCAAATGTGTTCTTTGCTGTAACTGTAAACGGCAATCAGATCTAAATGTTTTATTGTGTTGTTTACATTCATAGGATTCCTCTTCTTTATGGGTACTTTGGAATATTTCAAGATACCTGTGATGGTTCATGCCTTTAGTACATGGCTCACATTTATCAGTTCCTTTTTCCATATGAGTTTTTACATTTCTTTGAAAAGAACTGGAAGAACCGAGAGCTTTACCACACTGATTGCATTCATAACATTTTCCTATAGTGGGAGTCACATTACATGTGCAACATGAACCAGTACAGACAGAAGAATTTCCAAATTCCTTGTACTCATAAACTTTTTCTCCAGTGTAAGTATGTTGGTGTATTTCCAGTGACATTGGAAATCCAATTAATTCTACACTTGTTTCACGATCACACTGTCTATTCATAGTGGTAACCACTGCATATCTTTTGATTTTTCTGGGTGAGAGAGAGGTACCTATCTTCTTTTCAGATCCCTTATGCTCACATGGCTTATATCCAGAGTGACAGATGATATACCTGTTAAAGGAACAATAACAAACAAAGGGTTTTCACACTGCATTCACACAGTTTAACATTTTGTTCCTCATAGAGATGTAGTACAGGGATTAAGGTTTCTCCACCATGACAACATTCTTGAATCTCATAAACTGTCCCTTAAACTAAACTATGGAAACTCTCTTCAAGTATAGAGTACCACAAGCTTAACTAAGGGACAATTTGCTTATGAATATTTTTGGACATACCCTAATCCTCTAATCAATGTGAATGCCTTTCCAGTAGTTGAATGGAATGAAACAAAATGGATGCATGGATCTCAGGGAGTTACGATTGATATGGTGACATTTGTGAAGGCATTATTTCTTTGTCTTATCTCTTACAGGAACACTTTGTAAACACATATCAGCTATCTGAAAATGAGGTACATGATATTGTAAGAATTTAATAATCATCACAAAGCTGTAATTATTTATATTGTTAGTTTTCATTAAATATCAGGGCACTTTAAAAGTTCTTTAGAGGCATAAATGATTCTATCACCTTGTACATGAAAATTACCTTCCATGTCTTCTAGAACCTTGACAATGTTCTCCAATATTGTGGTCCTCCCATTTGTAGCCTAAAATATAGTACCAGAAATGAATCATATATTATTGGAAATTATGCAAAATTTGAGTTATTATATCCAGTGAACCTTAGAACCATGCCTAATTTATGTACCACATTCTTCTTCTTTCACAGTAGAAATCACAGTGGAACAAAAATTCCTAAGAAAGGCTTATAATCGTAAGTTAAAAAGTGAAGGAAAACTCATTCTTACCTATAGCAGTGAGATTATCACAGATTTCTAGCATCACATCTCTGTAGAGATTCTTCTGGGAAGGATCCAGCAAAGCCCACTCTTCATGGGTGAAGTTCACTTGCACATCTTCATAAGCCACTGTATCCTAAAAAATCACATACACATACGAAACAGAAATGGTAAGACTGAGTTCTCTGCAAATGAACACTTCACTGGGATTATATTTACATAATTATGTGTGCTTGACAAATTTATTTCATATCACAGAATTTCAAATGTAATCAGCAAACCATTTTAGAGGGAATTAGAGGAAGAGGATTACGACTCTCATTTCTGATCCCTATGAATACTACATGGCATTGCAAGCAAAATGTTGACCTATATATATATAGAGAGAGATTCAAACAAAGTAATAGTATTGAGTAAACAACAGCAAACTTGTTTCAAAATTACTGACATCAAAAATGGATGGACAAGATGGACATGGTAGTGCACACTTTTAATCCCCAAACTCAGGAGGCAGAGACAAGTGAATCTCTGTGATTTTCAGGCCAGCCTGGTCTATGTAGAGATTTCTATGATAGTCAAAGGTACATAGTGAGACCCTGTCAAACAAAGAAAAACATCCAGCACAAGGGGCTCACTCTAAATTCCCTCCGGGAGCTAAACATACATTCTAGAAATGTACATGGCTTTCAGAAAACTGGAGTGCCTCATTTGAACTATACAGCTAATATGATATTCCTATGAAAAAAATGCATTTTTATTAAGTTACTGACAGACATATCAAAATGATTCCCAGAAACATTAGTGAAGGAAAGGCTGATGTTAAACCATAAAAGAAAACAAACAAACAAGCAAAGCTCCCAGTAGAATTTAAATACGGACCAATAGTTAAGATCATCTGGAGCTGGAGAGCTTCTCTCTAGGTCCCACCAAGCCCCTGCATTCCAACAACCCACATATAAAATAATCACTCAGACGCTTATATTATAAAGTGTATGGCCGTGGCAGGCTTCTTGCTAACTGTTCTTACTCATATCTTAAATTAACCCATTTCTATTAATTTATAAGTTGCCACGTGGCTCATGGCTTATCAGTACCTTATATCTTGCTTGTCTTGGTGGCAACTGGCAGGTCTCCCCCCTGCCTTTCCATTTCCTCTTTTCTCCTCTCTGTTAGTCCTGCCTATACTTCCTGCCTGGCCACTGGCCAACCAGTGTTTATTTATACAGAGCAATATCCACAGCAATCACCTTTTACTTTTACAGAGGACTTGCATCAGTCCCTAGGACTCAATTATGGCTCCCAACATTTGGAACTCAATTTCAAGACTATCCAGGGCTCTCCTCTGACTTCAGTGAAAGGCAGGCAAACATGGTACACCTGCATATATACAGGAAAAAGACTAATGCATGCACTTCAAAGAGTAAAAAATATTAAAACATGCAAAAAGATATGTAGAATGTTACACATCTGCAATGTAACAATTCAGGAGATCTGTATTAATGTCATGAATGCAGGCCATCCTGCTGGAAGAAAACAAAACCTCTGCCAACGTTTAAAATTTAAAAAGTGGGTAAAGCTCACCAAGATCAAATACTTCACATATAGTAAAACCTAATGCTATCAGCCAAAAATATAAACTAAATATATCAGGGCAGAAAAAAATGTCTTATCGAGGAAAAGCATTTGCTTCTATAATACCTTAAGTTATTTAAGGATGGAGTGTGTTATGTTGGAAATGTGGCTGCATGAGAATGAACAGGGCTGCTTAGTTTTAACTACAGAAAGATGTGTAGGGGCCCCCAAACAGCTTGACCACACAGCTATCATGACAGGCTTAGAGGCCCGGATACTATTTCTGGAAGGCAATGCCCAGATCCAGGAAAAACCATAAGCTGACATCAACCAGTAATCCACCCAGGGATGGGGAAATACCTAACATCCCAAACATTCCAACCATTAGATAAGGTGGCCAGAAGTCCCTGAGTCTAGCACACACCTATTTTTGTTTCACAGATACCCATAGACATTATCAACAAATTAGGGTCCTGAACCTTGGAAATCCCCTCACCCCAACCTTTACGATAAAAATCCTACCCTGCCTGGGCTCAGGGCTCTCTGCTCTCACCATTGCATAGGAGAGACAGATCAAGCCTCGGAGCCTGAAAATAAAGGGAGACAGAGAGACCAAGCTCAAAGCTTGAAGAGATTAAAGGCTCTTTGCTTTTACATGAGGGATTTGATCTCCGAGGTGGTCTTTTGGGATTCCCCATGATCTAGGCATAACATTGATAAGAGTGGTTGGAGTATAAATACTAAATACCCATCCCCAGAGACCAACATACTCATGGAAGGCCCCTGATTCTAGAGATACCATTTGCACCCTAAGGAAACCAGAAATCTCAGACAAAGTCTCCAATACATCATTGTACTTGGGAGATTTTTCATTCAATCTACTATTTGACACAGATCATGATAGGCTCACATTCAACCCATAATGTTAAATGCCTTTTAGGCTATCCACAAAGATCCTTATATTCTATAACAGTCCCCAAACTGTTAAAATGTACTGTTTCTTCTGACACTGAAGATAGTTTCTAGAATGTGTTATCTTGTAAAATTAAAAATGAAATTATATCTATGTGCACTAGCTGGTCTCTTATGTCAACATGACCAGGCTAGAATCATCAGAGAGGAAGGAACCTCAGTTGAGGAAATGCTTTTGAAAGTTATAAATTTATAAACTCAAGTTCCATTTGCTTTTGGGATACCATCTTACAAGGACTCCAATTTGCAGTAAGGCTTGTTAAGGAAGGGAATGGGTCAGTTGCCTTTAGTCTACTGGCTATGGGTGGGTTAGGACTTCTGTTGGTCTTTTCTATGTCGAACACACAGATTGCAAGCCCAGCACCACTTGAGATCTTTGGTAGCAGTTAATTCTGCAGCTCACACACAATTGAGCCTGTATGATAATGAGTATTCAGAGAAGGGTAATGCCTGGGGGGCGCTCACCAACCTAAGACAGAGTGCCTGTGTGGCCTGGGCAGGTGTCTCCATGATGGGTAAGATGACCTGTTGACGTCCCATGCAACCTAAGTCAGAAGCTCATTTTTTAGAGGGGACCTGTAGGGCCCTGGCCCCCGTTTTGGGTAGCTGTTGCCTTGCTTGCTGACCTTGACCTTGATGTCCTCCCTATGCTAATTCCCTGCTGGGTTCCAACCTCCTGAATGCTTAAGTTAAGTTCCTTGTCTGTGTATCCTGCATATTGGGTATTAACAGCTTAGATACAAGATTGTAAAACATCAGTAGCGAACTTCTGCCCTCCAGGGTTTTTCCATTGTGCTGTAAACCTGTATTTAAGGCCTTCTCCCTCCTTCAATAAACAGCATTCTGCATTCAAAAAAGAAATTAAAAAAAAAAAGAGAGATTATATCTATGTGCACTGGCTGGTTTCTAGTGTCAGCTTGACCAGGCTAGAGTCATCAAAGAAGGAACCTCAGTTAAGGAAATGCCTCCATGAGATCCAGCTCTAAGGCATTTTTCTTTTAGTGATTGATGGGGGAGGGCCCAGTCCATGGTGGGTGGTGCTATCCCTGAGCTGCTGGTCCTAGGTTCTATAAGAAGGTGGACTGAGCAAGCTATGTGAAGAAAGCCTGTAAGCACCTTCCCTCCACTGCCTCTGATTCAGCTTCTGTGACTCTGGGATCCTGCATTTTTAAGTTTCTATCCAGACTTCCTTCAGTGATAAACAGCAATGCTGAAGTGTAAGCCAAATAAACCCTTTCCACCCCAATTTGCCTTTTGGTCTCACTGTTTTATCTCAGCAATGGATGATACTACACAACACACAAAGGTACAGAATACACATTCCCTTTTCAAAGAAGTGAGGAAAGATTGGGCCAAGGCAAGACTAAAACCCTGCTGGGCAAACACCACATCCTACAGCTCTGAGACAGAAACCTGGGGCTTCAGTTTCAAAAGAATTAGATGGCTCTTTCTCTTTGACACTTTTCACACATCTCTACCTTTGGTTACTTCTACTCCCTGTGTGCAGGTGAGTGGAAGTAACCACAGGTAGAGATGAAAGGTGTCTCAGAGCTTGTTCATCTCAACATCTAGTGGTCTCAAAATGCAACCCAGTCTTCATTTTCATACCTTCTACAATGACCTGTCACAGTCTCCACATTAGATCCTTGACTCTGCCAAACAATTGGCTGCAACAGTGCTGAACTGAAAGTATACTGGAAGAATCCATGACCTTTAAATTGTGCATCTTTCCTCTTTTAAGAAAATGTGACACACGGGTGATGTGTCAACATGGGGTTCTAGTTCTGGATTGACCCTGCCCCACTGGAACAGATCAGCATTAATTCTGTATGAATTTTTTTTTTTTCTGGGACTAGGACTCTTGTTCCCTCTCCCTTTCCTATTGAAACACTTTACTTGGTGGTACAGTACCCATGCAACACCTTTTCTATATTTCCAAAGAAGAGCCTGTGCCTTCTCTTTAATGTCACTAACCTCCCCAATAATTACAGCCTCTGTTCTAGCCATGACTGTCCTCTAACACCACCTAGTACTGTTTTCCTTTCCAAACACACAGGTTTCATTAATATCTGCCCTGATTGTTGCTCCTTTACTCTACTGTTGTAGGAACTTAGCAGAGTCACTGTATCTGTGGTACATATTAGAATGAACAAGCATTCTTTAGAAGTACTTTTACCTTGAAAAATCCTAATAGAGAGCAGTGATTGTTTTGCAGAATGGACTTTGCAGCCATCCTGTCACTATGATTACAAGATGCCTCAGGCACATCTGAAGATCTTGTATTATTATGCATTGCACATAATACATAAAAAAGACTAGAGTCATGGATCCATGTGATGCTCACCTTCAGTAGAACATCTAGATCAAGATTAGGGACTCTGGTGTGAGGAAATACTTTGTCTAACTTTCAATACACCTTTGTATAGCTGTGTAGTGGTATTTGCTAGGTCCATGACCTTGGGCTATATAACCTAAAGGAGGTGGTATTTCCTGCAATTGTATATGACCTCACAAAAGGACAGGAGAGAGGGTTATGGGCTTCCCTCTTCCTTTTTCTTCTTCTTTTTTTTTTTTTTTTAATTTTTATCCTGG